AAAAATAAAAAATAAACGTCGTGCCACGACATTAAATAAGGCGCTTATTGGGAGGCAACCCAAGTTTGTATTTTGTTTATTTTCATCCATTTCTTTTTGTGTGTGAAAACCTTTTCAAAAAAAATCAGTGAACCCGGCCGGGTTACAACTCAACACGGTCGGATGGCATAATAAAAACCCACACCCGGCACACACCCGGGCGAGCCAGGCCAATTTTTTCAGTTAAAATGATTTTCACCCGACCGGGTTTGCTACTTTACCCGGCCGGGTGAATCTAATAAAAGCACTTGGAACTAAAACAATCGCCCGGGAAAATATTTTTTGGCAAAACCTGGGCCCTGGAGTAAATTACCCGACCGGGTACCTTTAATACACCCGGCCGGGTATTTTTGACAAAAACATTCTGGATAAGCGGGAGTTAGGCCCGACCGGATACACTACCCCACCCGGCCGGGCGTCAGGAATGTTTCCACAAAAACCGAGATGGCATGCTCTTCTTCCTCATTTCATCTTCTGCAAACACGAACCAACTCCGCCAAAACACCATTTTCAAACTCCATACATTTGAATCTACTCTGTTTCTACACCAAATCCATAAAAAAACCATGTTCTTCATCTCCTCATCACCCTCTTCACCACCACACCCACAAAAAAACCTCCCAAATAACCAAATATCCAAATCCCCTTACTCCACAAACAACAAAAGCCAAAATTTCATCAACCAAAAAGAAAATAAATGACACCAAAAAGGGCAAAGGGATTCATTCTATTGGACATCTCAGACACAAGCACTAGGGACAATGCTTTGGTTAGCTTGGGGGGAGAGTTTTATGGAATACTCACATTCATACTCTTGTTAAAAAATAAATTAATAAAAGCTTGTTAAGTTGAAAACCTGAAAGGGAAACTTAAGCAAAAATAAAGAAAAAATAAGAGTGAGTTGTGAGGATTAAAATAGAAAAATGTGGGAAGCTGGGATGAAAACCTGAAAGGGCACCTAGGCAAAATGAGAGAATGAGAGAAAGTATTTTCTTTTATTTCTGCTGGATCCTAAGGGTAACGGAAAAAAAAGTTGAGGTTGATAAGATATATGGAGTTGAAGACCCCTCTTTACTGTTATATTTTTGGGGATACACTTTATGTGTTTCTAAAAACACTCTTGGATTTTTGTGTTGATACTCTTGTCATTTTAAGGACTTTTTGGACTGGATTTGGTTTACTCAAGACGAGTAAAAGTTTAAGTGTGGGGGTATTTGATATGCACTAATTAGTAGTGCATAAATGTATATTTTTATGATTGATTTGTGTGTATTGTTTACCGTTTTATTTAGTTTGTAAACATTTATGTGAATTTAGTTTTAATTGTATTTTAATCTTCATTTATAAGTTGTAAAGTAGAATTAGGAATTATGGTATTGAAAAGGAGGACTTTGAAGTGAAGAAAAAGGAGATTGGACTATCCAGGAGCTGAAACCCGACCGGGTAGAAGACTTCACCCGATCGGGTCTGATTTAACAGACGAAATTTCTTGGAAAATCACTAGACCCGGTCGGGCTCACTACCTCACCCGGTCGGGTGAGAAGTGACCGGGGACAATCCGGCGTGCGAAGATCACCGGAACGTGGCAAATATTTGATTTTGACTGATACCCGGTCGGGTATGGCACTTTACCCGGTCGGGTATCCGCCCCAGGGTGTTGAAAACACCTATAAATAGCACACTTTTCTTTCACTTTTAATCATCCCTTCTTATATACTCCTAAGCTCAGTTTAGAATAACATTTCTTATATTTTTATAGCATGTTTAATCTCCAAATTAGGAGCTAAACTTCCATTTCTTGGTGTTGCTCTTGAAGTTTGTTGATTATTAAAATTGTGAGTTATTTTCTTAAACTTTTTCCCTTGAATATTAATTATTAGTTCTTTCCTTAACAATATCTCTATATTAATGTTGGGGAGTGTTGCTAAGATGATAATTAGCTAACATCTTGACATTAGTTATAGTAGTATTTTCTTCCTCTATATTAATGTTGGGGAGTGTTGCTAAGATGACAATTAGTTAACATTTTGATATTAATTGTAGTAGGATTCATCTTCTTTAATAACATTCTTCCTTGAGTATTAATTAATATTTTGAACATTACTTAAAGGATCAACTAGTTTTGTTTCATATATATTAATTATTACTAGAAACGATCAACGAACTGATGGTTAATCATTGATGGTTTCACAAGTAAGTAACTTCGGTTTATTAATGCACGGTCGTGGTTAATAAACTTAAGAGGGGTGAATTTTGTTGGTTAAACCGAAACCGTTGTGTTGAGGTTATCAATCTCAATTGATTTCATCAAGGAGTTAGAAAGATTAAATGCTACTATTAAATCGGTATAAGGCGTTGTTCTATATTGATTAATAGTAAGGGTTATTGATGAATTATCATTGTTAATAACTACCCTCGATGAACTGGATATACTCCCCGATTGAGTATTCGAGAGGGAATAAGTTGTAGATATAACAATGATCGACTAAAATATATCAGCAAGTGGAAAGTAGCAATGTCAAGTCCTTTTTATCTTTGAATTAAATCTCATATAAGTCGTTCATCTTAGCTTTTAATTTAATTAAATCATCCATCACCAAAACTCCCCTTTATTTACTAAGTTTCATAAAAAGAGAATTATTCATTTCCCTGTGGATACGAACTCTACTTCACCTATACTACGTATAAGTGTTAGTATCGATTTATTTTGAGTGCACCTCACGACAAGTGCACGTCAAGAACTCCCCATATAAGAGCAAAACGTATAGAAAGTTCAAAAATAGGAGTGAATTTTTAAAATTCCCCAAATAGGAGTATTCTTTAAAGCTTGGAAAAGACCACCCCTGCCGGAGTTGCCACTGGAGTTGCTAACAACCGCCAGTTGCCGGTCACCGGAGTCCGCCAATAATTTCCAGATCAGTCCTCCCGCCTCCGTTACACCTGCCACCGTCGTCAGTTCAGCCACCGCCTATCATCGCCATGGACGGACTGCCTTGGTAATTGCCCAAAGGAAGTAGGGGGAAATAATTAATTAGAATATGATATTAAAGGTAAAATTTTAATGTTTACTCCTATATGGGGAAGATTAATTAGGAGTTAATTCCTATTTAGGGAAATGTGTTACTCCTATTGAGAGCAATTAATTATTTTCAGTTATACTGTTATATGTGATATATATTAATATAAAACTTTTAACTTTTATACCTTTTGAAAGTCCTATTAAGCAAGCTAAGCACTCATCTCCAAAAATATCATCAATCAAACTTGACATCACCATCCAAGTAGGTTTTGTGAGAAGGGACCATATCTCCAAGGCTCCAAGCATGAGAGATAATTCCCTATCTAGGAGTAAACAATAAAAGGAGTGCAAAAGTAGGACTTGATAGTGTTGTGCAGTTACGTAGGAGTAAAGGTTTGTGAGTTGACTAATGTACCCTTAATGAAAACCTTAATTTCTATATCAAAAATATAAAATGAAATAATACTCCATAATTTAAAAGCAGTAGATACGCAATGGGCAGGCAACCTATTCTTTGTGCGCGACTACCAAAGCGAGAAATCATCGTTGCACCATTTGCTCTCGTTGTTTTCACCAGTCACCACCGCCGCTGATGCGGGCACCTCTACCGCCGTCATGACCGCCGTGACCACCGATGTTGCCTGCCATAGCCGCCATCGTTATCGCTGCCATCATTCTGTTGCCGCTTCATTCGGTATCACTGCCGGATCGTGTGCCACTGCCTCCTCATCCCACGTCACCTTTGGCTCATCTGGCTCCACCTTTGGCACCAACACCATCCATCTCAAGCCTTGAAAAGAGTACCCTACAGTATGTCATCTGACTATTGGAATGCATCTTCATGTCAGTTTAATGCAATTTGTACTAAAACAGAGGAGGCTAATTTTATTGCCATATTCACAGTTTCATGGCATTATAAGCATTGCAAGAGGAAATTATTGCCATCGTGATGAACTTTAGTGCCACAGAGATCACACTATGTTGTATACGAGATTTGACATAAAAGTGGAATAAGTTAAGAATCTTTCTGTCATAAAAGTGGAAAATATTGCTCTATTGTAATGCCATGTTTTTGAAAGTTTTTTTGACATAGAATGCCATTTTTTATGAAAGTTTTTTGACATATAATGCCATTTTTTATGACATTAAATGTCATTTAAATGGAAATAGTACTCCTATAGATGTCATTATTACTCTTAAAAATGGCATTAACAGTTTATATGGAAAACAACATGGAATTACGGAGTATTAATTTTGGATTTGCAGTGGCATGATAAAGCCATCTTGGTGGAGTCGGTGACATTTTAGCCTTGTATTTTGAAATACGTAATATCTCCTTCTTAGTACCAAACAGTTATTAAATTTTTTAATTGTTAATTGAACTAGAATACTGAAAACGGCAATTGCAGGTTGAACTAAAATATCTAATTTGAGATTTATAAAAATATCGATTGAAATCAATTGTAAAATAAAATTGAAATTGTATAAAAAAGATGAAGGGTGGAGAACAAATTGTTGGAGAAGGATCGAACAGGAGAAGAATAGAAGAAAGAAAAGAAGAAAAGAAGAGGAAGAAGAAAGGAGAAGAAAACGAAAAAAGGAGAAGAGGAAGAAGGGATGGTCGGAGGTCGGAGGAGGAAGAAGCAGATCAGAACTTACCTACGATGTTGCTACTCATTTATTGTCGGGAAGCTTCGAGAAATCAAACTTCAGCTGTAGATGAAGGAGAAAGTGCTATATATGACCGTAGAAGATACCAGAGATTGGGGATTTGGGGATGTAAACGGTGAGGGGAGAGAAGATACGAGAGATTGAGGGCAAAATGGGAAGAGGAAATAGGTGACTCGTTTTTTAACTCCTATATTGGGAATAAATTAAAGTGCCCTACTGTTTTGAAAATTCTCCTAATTATTTGCTCTGAAATACTTCAAGCATAAACATGTACGGTAGAGGCATGTATTTTCATTTGATCTCAGATCAATTAATTTCTCCATCACTAATAAACTCTTGAAATAAAAATGTCATTTTCATTTCGATCTTTACAAAGCTAAGTATGCAAAAACATTAAGAATTAATGCCGGTGATCTTGCCAAGGCAGGCATCGACGACGCCGTCGACCCACTTACTGAACTTCTCGAACTCTGGATCATCTCCGATGACCTGCTTCACGCACTCCTTACAGGTGTCGGCGTCGTTAGACATGGCGCTGACGTCCACGTTGGCTTTGAAGTAGTTCCCGTCCTGAATATCCTCCATTGTCTTCCTCATGGCGCCGACCGAATCCTCGTACACCTCCTTGCACGTCTGCATGCAATCCTTGGTGTATGAGTCGGCGGAAGGATCGCTCAGCCGCTTCTCGATCACGTTCGAGATGAAGTTGTCCGTCTTCCTCACGGACGCCACCAGCATGGAGTGGACGAACTTGTTCACGCCCGACCTTCCGGCCGCCGCAATGTCGAACTTCACCGATGGCTTTGTGTCCGCCACAGCCTTCATTGTTTGGTAGGACGCTCCGTCGGCAGAAGCTTCATCTTCCCCCTGCATGAGTAAGTTATTTTACATTATTATATTGAAGGAACAAAACATGACCATAATGACTTTTGATCAATGATAATGGACTTGGACAATGATTTTAGTTAGTACTAGTATTAGATTTGCGTGAAGTTTATACTAGATTTTATGAAAATATTTTTTACAAAGAATGTTTCTATTTAATTTTCATATTTTATATAATTTGATATTAATAGATATTGATGGTTGACCACCATTAACCAATAAATATCCTTTGTTACTCCTGTTTTTTTATTTTTTAATATTCACTACGTAGTACGAGTACCATGTACAATGGAGTAATTGTTTTGAGCAATTTAATTTCTGCATAATTTTTTAATAATCAAAATTCATAGTTATTGAATATTGGAACATGTTTAGGAGGATACGTTAATATTGTACTACCTCTGTCTTTTAATGTAAGGTACGTATGAGTTAAATGGTGCCGGATTTAATAAGAACATGGTTTCAGTTGCTCTAGCAGCTTGGCTGAGTTTTAAAAAAACCTCCAAGACCCCGGATTTATGGCCCAGGTTTTTTTAAAATTTATTAGTATTATATAGTAATATTATTGTATACTAATACTAATCAGTAAAATATAGTAGTAAAGAAGAAAAATATAAATCCATCATTTTTTTGTTGGCCCTCAACTCTTACTCTTTTAGTTCTTTTTTAATGAGTATTCAACTAATTTGATTATACGTATTTGGATTGAGATTTTTTTAATTTTTTATATTAATGTGGGGACTTGATTTTACATTTAGAAATGGAGCCTCCAAATTCATTAGACGGTCCTGCTCCAAGACTAAGAAAGAGAAAAAAATGATACTAGTGGAATAAAGTGAGAATGTCACAAGTTAATGGAATCCAATGTTTGGAAGTGTTACCTAATTTAGTATTGAAGTGGAAATATGAAATTAGTTATGGAATGGATGTGTTATACTCCCTCCGTCCCAATTTGTTTTGCAAAGTCAACATTTTTTGGTCATCCAATAATAAAAGTCAACCCTCCATATGGATAATTAATTCCATTTTTAATAATTAAAATTTACATATTCATAAACTACATTAAAATATATACCGGAGTGGAAGAGACGAGTTTTGATGTTTGTATAAGGGAGAGACTCTGCTCCTCCGTGGAAGAGGCGTCGTCAATGTCGTCTCCCGACGAGGCGGCGGGGGCAGGAGCGGCGGAGGGAGAGGCATCCGGGGATGCAGATATGTAGGAAACCGCCACAGGGGCATCTGCAGCCTCGCCGTCTTCGTCATCGTAGGAGTACTGTGCGGCGGCTGAAAGGAAGAGAAGGGCGGAGATGAGGAGGAGGAGGAGGCGTCGATGCTGGGCGGCCATTGTTTTTTCCTTCTCTTTATTGGATGATTAGGTTATGAGAATGAAAAAACAATGGGAATCAAATGAAAGAGAAAACAATGGCAATGCTTATTAATTATCCGATGGAGAATTAATGAGGAGATGAATGAATGGAGTGTTTGGAGTATATATGGTGAGAGTGATTGGTTGTGCATGTTTCTTGCAAACTCACATACCATACGCACGTAGCACTCGCTACCTTAGCGTCCATTCTTTCATTTATGAGGTTCCCCTAATTTTAGATAAATAAAAGTGCTTGCATTGGGGTACAATTTTTTAATCGCCAACGATTAATTGGATCAGAATTTTGTGATTTGGTTTGATCTTGTCTAGTCTATATAATTATGGTATGGTCGATTTGACTTGGTCTAATTTGATCTGGTCTAATATGTTTAATTGTGATTTAGTTTGATTTGAACTAATCTGATATATATCTGATCTATGTGTATTTTATAAGTGTGGAAATCTTGTCTAAGTCACATCCTTACTTTCTAAATCACATTACTGTAGGATGTTTTCTCAAGCTTCTATTGATGTTATTGTTTTTTATGCTTTTATCAAATTTTTATTAGAAATTTCTCTAAATAGGAGCAAAAGCGTTTTAAAATTCCAAAATAGGAGTATCATGTTTTTTTATTCTCTCAATAGGAGTAATCTGCCAAGTTTGGAAGAAAATGCCATGTTTTAAAGCCTAGTAATGCCAAACTTGGCAGAAATTTACTCATATTCAAAGAATAAAAAATATGATACTCCTATTTTGGAATTTCAAAACTTTTTTACCCATATTTAGGGAATTCTCCCTTTTTTATCTATATACTGTTTGAAAGTGTGAACACTACTAATTTGGCTATTTTTATTTTTATTTTAGATTCCTTATACTTCCTACATGATACGAAGTATATGGCATATGGTTCTTTCGCTTTTTTGTTTGATAATCCAGGTGTCAGAGCTTACGCTCCCATAATCATGTAGTCTATGAACTACCCTTCAAAGCCCCTAGACAGTTAAATCCAGATCTGATCACAGTCAGCCTCGTCAGTACTGGCTCCAAAGGACGAATCCAGTAAGACTTACATCACCTTTCAGGCTGCTCCTCCCACCACCAAATCCGCTACCTTCATTACCATCTTCTCATTTCTCAGCCGCTGAGCAACTCCGTGAAGGTATGAAGAATCATTGGGAGCAAGATCTTCCTCATTTCCCCTTGGTGGGAATTGATCCCAAGACCTCCTACAAAAGAGAGATTTGGGAGTGGATAGTCATCCATCGGACTACACCCACCAACCCATAGAGAGAATCTTTACCTTTAGGAATCTTAGTAAAAGAAATAATAAAGCCTAAAAGGCGAGGCGCCAAGACGTGATGCAATAATTATTGTCCCAACAGCTATATGTTTAACATAAACTATGTCCACTAGGAAAACTCATTTTGACCATCATTTTAATTCTTAAATTTCACCATCTCATTTTCTTTATCTGCACGTACTAATTAATTGACAAAACTCGGAATAATTAGAAAACTACATCCGTCCCGCTTAAAGGTTCTCATTATAAAATGACACAACTATTTATACAATAATTAAATAAAGTTATTCAAGTAATTCCGAAAAATAATTTTGACGAGAATTTAATACTACGTGTCTATGTATATATAATCAGGTCATTGTTGATAACTACAATAGATGTATTATTGTTAACAATTAACAAAATGACGGAGGGAGTAACTACTATACTAACAAAATATAATGACACGATTCACGGTTACACAACAACGGAAGCCCAACCCTCTAGTACACATATGACCAAATTTGGAGCATCCCAATTCCCAACATAGCAATAAGAGATTAAGGATCCGTTTACTTTGACTTAATGAGTTGAATGAAAAGAATGACTTTTTCGCTCGGTCAATAAGTCGTGTTTACTTAGGACTTAATGAAAAACTTGACTTATTCGGTCAGAAGAAATATGATTTAATGGTTCAGCCGAATAATTACACTCCTTAGCTAACAGACACGTTATTGGCTTTTTTAACCCTAGCTCTTTCTAACTTTGTTCTTTCTACTCCTTAAGCATCCAGAAAACGCAATATCAGCCAGCAGCACTCCATCTTCATCGAATTAGGTGTTTTTAGTCGAAATCGTCTCCTAAGTTCACTTCCGACCTTGGAAATAATTGAGTTTGGAATGAGTTGTTACGGCTAAAAACCAAGAAACAGGTTGATTTCTCCTCCGCGGAACTGTTTACTGACGGACTATGAGAAATCTGAAAATACACTGATGCTCGTCTTCCCTAAGAGAACAACATACTTAAATTTCAGAATTTTTTGAGCTGTTTTACAATCTGTCGCAACTATTCATGGACGGACTTTATTTTTTAGATCTGGTGTTGATTGGCTAGGGCTATGAAAAATCTAAAGATACAGGGATGATCGTCTTCCCTAGGATAACAACATACTGAAATTTCAGAATTTGTCGAGTTGTTTTACAATCTGCCGCAACTGTTCATGGATGGACTGTATTTTTAATTCTGGTGTTGATTGGCTGGGGCTATGAAAAATCTAAAAATACAGGGATGATCGTCTTCCCTAGATGAACAATATACTAAATTTTCAGATTTTTTGGAGCTGTTTTGCTTTGGAACGCTGATGTTCATTCTTGGAGCTTTTTTGGAGTTGTTTTGGGCAAACCCGACCTTGTGGGAACCTGACTCATGCCTCTCTTTTCCTATTCAAATACCTTCGGGGAAGACTTTTAAATTATATTTCAGAACAAGCAATGTAAATAGATAATATACATTCAACACTTTCTAGACAGAAGGGTTATTTGGCAATTTAACATAATTCAGACTTCTCATTCAGCACACATAGTAAACAACTTGTTATCTCAGTGTCACTTAATTCAGTCAGACGTCTTAATTCAGACAGACGTCTTAATCCATTCAGGACTTAATGGAAAAAAAGTAAACAACCCTTAAAAAGGGTATCACTCTTTGCTACAGCTTGGGCTAGAACAAACATTATTTTTTCAATAATGCGCGTGTTGGAAAACTATGAAGTTGAAATTTTGTGTTTCTAGTGCTCTAAACCCTAAGCTACTTTCATGTCCTATTTGGTGATTAAAAACACAATTATTTCTATTTTTGAAGTCTATCTATGTTTTCTTCCAACATTGAACAATTGCTATACCATCAATCATCACTAGTACATCACTATATTCTCTCTTAAGTAAATTAGCTGCTTAAACTAACACCATTGCATAGACCATGAAATTATATGTAGGTTTGAAAAACAAAATTTATCTTCTTCCGTTCTTTTTAAAATGCAACAATCGACTTTTCACGTTTGGCAATGCACAAGTTTAACCATTAATATCTTTCATTCTTTATTAGTGAAAAAAAAAATAGATTTTAAAAATTTAAAATGAGAGGAATTTAACAATATTTTTTTAAATTTAATTTATAATGCATTAATAAATTAAATAGAGTCAAAGTAGAACATGTAAATAGTGTAAAAAGTCCAATGTTACATTTATATTTTTATATTTAAATAGGATGTAGTATATTTTATTGACTTTTCAACACGTACAAGAAATGACCATTTTTGTTGCCGTTGCATGTATATGTTGCCTACAACCACAATAAAAAGTGCACTTTTAATTGTTGATTTGTTGTGGTGTTAAGTGCAACTAACTTAATAGACAAATAACTTCGGCGCCACATACCGAGAAATAGACATATTTGCTGCGTTTTAGGCAATAAAAACGAAAAAATATAAAAAAGTGCAAAAAAATAATTATTATTTTCCGTAGGTATTATTATTGGGAAAAACTCTATTTGTACACAAAATTCATACATGTTCGACACACATTTTTACGTAGTTATCTATGCACATAAACACTATGTACGCGTGCACTCCCTAGTTACATGTGTAAACAGACAGCTCGTGCAATTATTTGTATACACACATGCAAATATGTGTCACATGTGTGCAAATTTTGTGTAAATTATTGTATCATTTGATGTAGGTATTAGATAAAAGCAACGAATTGGGAGCATCAATAAATTAAAGGAGAACTATCAAATAAGCTCTCGAATTTTCATAAAAAGTGTAAATAAGCCCCCTTTTATAGGAGGCTCTGTCCGGCCGTCGCCATTTGGGGAGGTTTCCGGTGGAATTCTTTGATAAATTTTTTTGAGTATCTTCTTCATTAAGTCTAGTTTATTCATACCAAATTTCAGTTAAATACTTTCTCGATTGAATTTTTAGCCGAAATTTGGTATGAGTAAACTTGACTTGATGAAGAAGATGCTCAAAAAATTTCATCAAACAATTCCACCGGAAACCGCCCCAAATGGCGACAGACGGACAAAGCCTCCTGTAAAAAAGCTTATTTGCACTTTTTATGAAAGTTCGAGAGCTTATTTGATAGTTCTCCCATAAATTAAAAAAAATATACGGAGCAGTAGTGTTGGGAAGGAAAAAAAAACAAGTGCTCTAGCTAAAATAGCATAGAGGCCGGCTCGGGTTGAGAGATGAGATGACATGCATTCCCAAAAGTCTAAAACGCCATAATTAATCAAGGAAAATGGTACTCTCTAGCGGTCAAATTTTTCCTCTCCCAGCGTATGTAGGACAGATTAGGTTTCTTCTAATAGTGATGACAGCATGGGAGAGTTGGTTTTCTTGAGGTATTTGTTTGTTGTTCCAAAGTTTTTTCCTAGGGATCGCGGCTATGGTTATCCGAGAAGCTAAGAGCATCTCCAATCCATATGGTGAATTGGTGCTTACGTGTACGGTTAATGGAGAGGGTGTACAACCAAAAGAGAGGGTCTATTAAAAATCATTATTAAAAACCAACATAGCAAGCAGAGGAGTTCTACATTGAGATCGAGTGTATCAATGTAGAACTCATGCTAGACCTTGTGCATTGCCACGTAGGATGGACCCAATTCATTTCTCTTTGCATTGAAGAATGCATTTGCTCACAAAGGGTCTATTTGGTGAGGTGGATGAGTTTTTTGGCAATCCACCTCTCCATTAGAGATGCCCTAATTACATTATGTATGCCGCAACTTTAAGTCAATGATTACCAAAATACGATTGTTCAA